CCGGGGCCCTGGCAGAAAATGACCCCAATGAGCTTCAGTTCTTGCAATCACAGCTGCTCCCCCTGAACGCTCGGCGTCCCTCGCGGCAGAGCGTGAGGCTCTCGGGGTTAAGCCTCGCTCAATGCCTCAGGCAGGCAGGCCAAGACTGACATCCCTGCTGTGGAGCTGGGACCCCAAAAGGAGGAGTAGGGAAGCCCACATGCCCCTGGCACAACCCTTCGGGACAGAGAGCTGGGGTGAGACCTCGCACTGCATCTCTGACAGGTTTAAAATGAGCTCTGTGCTATTTGGATCTGTCTGTCCCTCTCATTTTGCTTCAGATGCACCTCTCAGGTGGGTCCCATGGTGGGTCCTCAGCAGAGAGACCCCTGGAACTGCCATCTGCATTTTGGCATCCTGATGCATCTGGAACTCTTTAACAGCCCTGGCTGGCCCACCTTAACAGGGCCAAAGGTCTCACCTGCCCAGAAAAACCAGAGCTGAGTCATTCCTGAGTGTCCCTGTGCAGAAACGAGGAAGAATTCCTGGTGTGAAGCTGCTCCCCTCCTTTCCCCATTTCGTTGTGTCTGTGGCTATCAGCAAGTGGCACCACGAGCTCCTGCAATGTCCCTTGAATAACCCCCACTCCTACCTGGGAAAAGCGGGAGAAACCCCCGAGGAAAACCGAAGACTTCTAGAAAAGAATCAGTGCTGGGGAGGGGTTCACACCTCAGCGCCTGCATTCAGGAGGTTTGAGGCAGATTGAATCTCTGTGTGTCCTGAAATAGCTGTTTCAACACCCCCTGTGTCCTGCAGGCCAGGGAGGAGAGMAGCAGGCAGGTATTTACCATACCTGTGATATTTGGATAACCAGGAAGGAGGGACGGTGGGCAACASGGCTGTGGAAGGAGCTGGAATTTCGATTTCATCGGCGGCAAACCCAAGCCGACGTGCCTTCCTTGCCACTGTCCCACCGCAGCGACATTCCCGGCCAGGCACACCCCAGTTCCTCCATGCAAATACTCCCAGGTTGAGTTTCACAATCCCTTCCCGGCAGCCCAGCCTCTGCTTTCACTCTCTGAATTACCAAGGGGAATTTTCATTGCATCACCAGAGGCTCTTCCTCCTCGACAGCGACAGAGCCGTCACTCTGCTCTGAAGGGGCTTTTTGGGGTGTGGGTGATGGGGGTGTTTCTCTGGTAAGAGAAATACCTCCCGAAAGCAGRTCCAGCCCCGCTCAGCCTCCCCCAGTGGCTCCATCCAGGCTGGGAACAGCACTGGGCAGTTTGGGGTGGCTTCAACCAGTGCCTGGACAAAGCCTGCTACCCTGGAAGCCTTYCTGGGGGATACGGCGCTTTCAGGCAGCTTAAAAAGTCGCCTGTGCCAAATCCAGCGGGGTCGGAAGTCAGCAATCTTCCAGCTTTCTGCCAGCGTAAGCAAAAGCAAATTTGCCTATTGGAGCTGGGATTTGCAGAATGATTCGCTGCAGCGTTTGAATCGCCCCCCCTCCACGCCCCCGCCTTCTATATCGTTTTTGTTTGTTTGTTTTGGGTTTATCTTTTCAAATATCCCCCGGTTTAACGGTCAGGCTGGTGGCAGCTTCCCTGCAGCTCCGGGGTGGGGCTGATCTGATCTCACTCCCAATCCGGTGACCTTCCAATCAGCCGCTTTCTTTTCCTCCCTGGCAGCTTGCTTTCCTGCYCTCTTCTTCCTGGCTGTTTGTTTTGCGTTTTTTTTTTCTTTCTTTTTTTTTTTTTTAAATCAAAACAAACTACCGGGTTCAAACTGCTACTCAGGAACACGCTGAGCAGGAGCCTTTGCTCCTGGCAAGGGCTGTGGAAACTCGCCATGGAGAAACACCTCAGCCATGGAGAACTTGTTTTTAAGTAGCTGTGATGTCTGGACCACAGCGGGGTCCGGACAGTTGGAAATCTGTATCTCAGAACTCCACAAAAGCACTGAATTCCCTCAAATACATAACCAGTGGCAAGAGCTCTGCACAGTTTGGGAGCAGGGAAAACGGCTCTGAAGTCACTCGGATTTAGCCTGGCCTCCTCCAGCCCTGTTGGTATCGTGATTCCTCATATAAGGGAATGAGGAGTCATTTCTGCCCCACGAGCGCGTCAGGAGCCAAAGCCTTTCCCAGGAACTCCAGATGGTTTTGCTCTCTGTCTCTCTGTGTCTGCACTACTGGTAATTCAGGCCTGTCTCACATTGGTTTTTTCGCTGAAACCTTCCCACAATTAGTTACAGTCTGTGCTCCTGCGCTGCAGAGGACGTAGGGCTGAGCTGGCAGAGAGCTGTCTGGGAGATCCGTCCCACACACRAGTCCTGTGCAGGTTTCTCTATTTCAGTCAAGAGTGTGATTTTTCTCATGAAATCATCAAAGCAAGACAGTCTCTGCTACAGATGGGCAGCGACAGCCATTTCAAGATGCCTCATACCTGGCTTTTCTCAGACAACAATAGTTAATTKTAATATAATCTCATTTTACACCATTATAACATCTTTTTTCTTCTTCATCTGGCCCTCCTTTCCCAAGGAAAAGGGTTCTTTTCCTCTGGGAGCTCCACACCACAAGTGTCAGGGAAATTTTAAGAATCTTCATGCCAGTCCAGGGCCCACAGCTCAGCAACTCATTGCTCAGGGACAATGTGCTCCACAAACACCCTCATAGCATCCCTGCTTCWCTTGGAGCAGAGCTGTTTGGCTCTTGCCAAATTAACTTGCTMATTAACAGGGTTTTTGATCTCAGGCAGGAATTTACCACTCTGAGGCCAAACCTAAGTGTGGTCCAARACTTCCAGCTGGTCCAAAGGCCTGTGTGCTGTGACAGGAATGTGAAGAGCTGACAAATGTCTGGGGAATGCGAGCTCCAGGGAAGGACTTGGGTGTAGCAGACATCTTGGGATAAGCAGTAAGGGAGGGTTGTATGGCAAGCACAGAATTAATGGAGAGGAGCCCAGGGAAAAGCAGGATTGCTGCAGGGCGTTCAGGAGAGGAGGAAGCTTCATTTGTGCAGGTGATTTAGTCCTTCTGTGCCTTCATTCACCCGTCAGACAGGGAAGTGTCATCATTATCCCCGCTGCCGACAGATCTGGGGTCTTTGCCTACAGCAATCCAACAGCACCAGCACCGAAATCCAGGTTCCTTGTTCCCATCCCAGCTCTTGGAAGGATCCCGGTAATAATAACCGGGAGAGAAATGATTTCAGGAATGGCGATAGCTGGGAGACAGTGATGGAGCCACRCTTGTCACATGAATAACCACAGTCTGTCCAGTCAGAACTGACAGTCTAAGGCAAGGCAGCTCCTTCTGTGCTGATTTGAGAGGCTCTTCGTAGACACAGCAGATCTTTCTGCTTCACCTCCCCTGCATAATAAGAAGCAGCGTCTTTCCTGTTGGTTTATCTGTCTTTGGACAGGATACGAGGCTGGCAGACCCCTCTGGGCACGGGGGAACCCGGGAAGGAAGCGGAGGCTTTTAACTTTCTGCATGAGTGCAGTAAGAATGTGGGTTGCAGTTTCAGTGCCTCTAAACCTGGCACTCGGGGAGGAGTTCCCAGCTGAGCAAATCTTTACATGATCTTCAGAAACGTTATCAAGGAGGGACACAGAGCAAGGGACGAGGTGCTCCATTGGGGTGGATAGATTTAGGGGGGGGATTCCTGAGGTTACAGACACCCCTCACCAATGAGAGATGTTAAAAAGCAAACTGCCCCAGGGTTGGTTGGTTTTTTATTAACAGAAGCCTTTTTTTCTGCACAATCCAGCCAGAAGATTCCCCCCCATTCCAGGCCCTGGGTGAGGCAGCCATGGCAGTGCTGAGGGAGGGATGTTGAGGGGAGTCAGGGGCTGAGGGGAGACCGGGAGTGAAGGGAG